AATTTAATTTATTTATTACTTTATGCATTGAACTTTTTCACAGTTTGTGCATACATAAAATCAGGCACTATATCCCATTCACAATTATTTCAGGTATTCAAGTACCATTTTCTACTTTTGTGCGTTTTTTTTTTTTCATTTAGACTTTATTTATCCAGGTAGTCTCATTGAGAGAACTCATTTTCAAGAGAGACCTGTTTAGGGAGCAGATGGTGGGGGTTGGGGGCCTTGCTCAGGGGCCCAGGGTGGGGCGAATGAGGGTGGAGGGAGGTGTGAGTGTTTCACCTTTTCCACCCACATTTTGATGTTGACGGTACCAGGAGGTGAACCTGCGACTTTCCGATCACAAGCCCATCTTCTAACCTCTGCGCAACCTGTCCCCCCAGTTTTATTTTAGCTGATTTTAGTTTTAGTTGATTTGTATATACAGACATTAGTTTTAATGGTATTTTATGTTGTGATAGCAGAACGTGCTCAATGTGCAGTGTCAGAAGAATGGCGGCAGAGCACAGCTGGAACAGAGGTAGATGTGAACACTGTTCAGATTAAGTGTAGATCCACACTAATCGTTGATTAAAGTGAACAAAAAGATTAAACAAATGTATGATTTCAAATAATTTTTAGTCAGATCAAGAGGCCCTATCATGCGGGCGGCTGTGGCAGAGTGGTTAGAGCAGTCGTCCTCCAATGCAAGAGTTGGGGGTTCGAATCCACCAGCAGTCACATGCCCAAGTGTCCCTGGGCAAGACACTGAACCCCTCACTGCCTCTGATGTGTGTCCCATCAGTGTATGAATGTATTAAAGCTCTGATCAGTCTCTTTAGAATGATTTGTTCAATTAGTTATGTAGAGATCTAGTAGAGTGCTGTATGAATGGGTAAATGAGGACACAGATTGTAGTGTAAAGTGCTTTGAGTATCTTGATCAGATGGTGCTATATAAGTACAGTCCATTTACCATAGTAATGAATATACACAAACAAATTTGTTTGATTACATGTTAAGGAACGAGAAGTAGGCCTCAGTGCATCGCAAAATATTGACTTTGTGCATGTGTATTAGTAACTGTAACATGGTCCATGAGACAGTTGCATTTTTCTTTTTTTTTACTTCACACCTACAGAAAGATGATCAGCAGACTCTACTTGCAAAAGCAAGACATATGAAAAACCCCACTTTGTATAAAATAAGATAAAATAAAATAACAGGAACTTAAGGACAAGCAATGTCATCTTGTTAATGAGAGTCTAATAAATATTTACTAAAAAGTTGGAGAAAGTTGTTTTAAGTATGCTGCATTATACTGCCATCTACTGTTTCAGTCACTGGTTACAAGACAATTTCTACACGTGCCAGTTATTATTACTTGAAGCAAAAAAAAAAAAAGAAAGCAAATTTTTTAAAATTACATCAAATTGTTCAAGCATCCACTCGGTGCTGACACAGTTAAAACCTCCCTTCTTTATTCTAGGGAAAGTCAAAACAGTTACTGAAGGATGAAGACTGATTCTTCTCAATTTTACATGTAGGTTGTGAATTAACAAGTTGACAGTTCTGGTCCATTCTGCTTTCATTGCAGTTTTTTGTGGGACTTTGAGTAATTTTCTGATGTGGTTTTCAAAAACCCACCATACCACTTTATTTATAAAGCACTTAGAACAGCAGCAAGGCCAATTAAAGTGCTGTACAGGAAAAACAAACATGCAAAGGACACAGGATTAAAAACATAGATCCAAATGGAAAAAAATAATGCAAAAAGGCTAATATTGTAGAGTACAGACAGGATTAAAAACAAGTTACAAGTCATTTGTGTATCTGAGAGAAGAATTACACATGATTTTGTAGCATTAACTCAAAAGCTGATTATGAATTATTGAACATTTTTAGAGCTTCTCAATTTGCTGCAAATTGCTTTAAAAATTCTGGTTCTTTGTCTTAATATTTCCAAGTTTTGTAGTTTAGGGGAATGTGATTCTTGACCTGCCATTGTGCATCTGTTCCTCTCAAACCCAGCCGGTCGAAGCAGATGGCCACTTGTCCTGAGCCTGGTTCTGCTAAAGGTTTATTCCTCATGAGGGAGTTTTTCCTTTCCACTGTCGCCTTCATGCTTGCTCAAGATGAGAGTTCTGTGATGGAGTTAAATTCACAGCAGTCTGCTCCTCAGATAAATAATGTTAACTTACTTTATGTACATTAATATTTCTGTTCAGTGTCCTGAGATGACTTCTGTTGTGATTTGACGCTATATAAACTGAATTTCTTTTAGTTTTCATAATTTTCTGTAGATAAAACTCTATCTGTAAATTCCCAGTAATTAGAATCCCTGATTTTAAAACCATTGTGTGACTCAAAGTATATTTAGTGAATTTGCAACTCTTACATGATTTGTGTAAGGATATATTGTCCCTCTGTTGTGCATTTTGATCAAATCCAGCATTTGTAGTGGATGTTTGCACATGCACTTTAAATGGGTTTGACTCGCTGCCTAATTTTTTTTAAAATCAGATACAAATATCTGTACTATAGTTTTATGTCTGTCACAATAAGTGATATTTGCAGTGATACTATAAAATGTTTGAGGATACACCTTTCCTATCATCATTTATAGACAGCGCTGTATTGTGATGAAAATGTCTATAATCTGAGATCAACATTAAATAGAAGCATTTGATTAAGGTTTTAGTCATAGTTTAAATTTTTGGCTTCACTCATTGTAAAAAAACAAAAACACGTGAATATATAGGTAGATTCACTAGCTGGCTATATAGGCAGTCCACATCATCATTTTAATGCCTGCGAAAGTTGTAATTTTGCGACTGAAGAGTTAGCAGCTGGTTTCATCTACAGAGGGAGCAACAGCTTTATTTAGAAAAGATGAACAAACTAAAGCAGATCTGTAGTTGCCCCTGTTTTTATTTTTTTGTAGTAGAATAAAAGAAGTTTAAGTGAATTAAACATGTGAAGAGTAAACAGATTAAGTACAATGATTTACCATACCAGCTTTGTTACGAGAACACTTTAAATATACCCACAGGACCAAAGTGTAATGATTGGCAGAACCCAGATTGGTACGATACCAGACTCAGACGTTAGAAAAGGGAACAGTGTTTATTATATACAGTGAGTGTATGTACGCTGGTTCTCTGGAGTGCCTAAGGAGAACAGGGTCAGTAGATCCATTTTAAAGCGATGGTTTGTCGAAGGTAATGCGTTTGTTTGTCTTACAGGTGGAGACGCCGTGGGACAGCGTAGAGTGGGAGATGCTCCAGAGGGGAGGAACAGGTTGGATGGGCAAGGCAGGTCTGGCAGGCGGACGACAGGCAAGGAAACAGGAACAGGATACGAGCAGACAGGATACTGCAGGCATAAAGAACAAGGTAAGTCTAATCACTCAACTTACAGATTTCAGGCTAAAGGCATAAATACCAAATAAGGCTCAATGCTCCAGCGTCCGGTCACACTTGGCTGCAGCCTTAAGTAGAGGCGTTCCTCATCAGGTGGATGGCCGTCAGCTGTTGTTAATTGGTCGGCCATCTTGGAACAGGGCTGCAGACAGGGAGATTCCTACACAAAGTGCTGTACACATAATAAAACAATCATACAGTCAGATAATAAAAAAATGATTAAAATAATTAAAAGTCAACATTTAAGATGGTGTCAAAGGCCAGGGAGAAGAGATTTGTTTTCAGAAGGGATTTAACATCAGACAAGGACGAGGCCTGTCTGATGTTCAAGGGAAGGTCGTTCCACAGTTTAGGAGCTGCCACAGCAAAAGCACGGTCTCCTCTGAGCTTACGCTTTGTCTTCGACACACTCAGAAGCAGCTGATCACATGACCTGAGGGATGAGAGGGCATGTAGGGATGGAGCAACTCAGACAGATAGGGCGGGGCAAGTCCATCAAGAGCTTTAAAAGCAAATTAAATAATTTTAAAATGAATCCTAGAATGTACGGGCAGCCAGCGCAGGGAGGCTAAAACAGGAGAAATGTGGACAAACTTTCGTGTGCCGGTTAAAAGCTGTGCAGCAGCATTCTGTTCCCTCTGAAGCTGAGAGATATACCACTGATTAGAGTACAGTAATCCAGAGTGGTCACACAGGCGTGAGCTACTGTTTCGAAATGTCGCTGAGAAAGAAACAGCTTTACTTAAGCCAGCTGCCGAAGATGGAAAAACCTAGTTTTAACAACAGCTCTGATGTGATTTTCTAACTTTAGTCCAGCATCGACTTTGATCCCTAGAAGTTGGCCTGATATACTGGGCCAAGGAATCAACATCTACATTGGGAGTATCAGCTTCCAAAGACCATCACCTCAGTCTTGAACTTCAAGAAGTTCACATCCATCCACGCTTTTATGTCCTCCAGACATGAAAACAGCACAGAGAGTTACAGTCCTTTTTCTTTAGTGGGACATGTATCTTTGTATCATCTGCATAACAATGAAAGGAGATTCCATATTTCCTAAAAATAGAGCCAAGATGGAGCAGGTACAGCATGAAGAGGAGGGGGGCTAAAATGGAGCCCTGCAGTTTACAGCAACCTTATCAAAATTCCAACTCATACAAAAGCTAAATGATGGTATTAGTGAGCTTGTTTAGGATGTCACACCCATGGAGCTCAAGCTTTACCTGCAGACTCTTTGAATTGCTCGTTGCACACCTGTTAGCAGGTTGTCTTGTAAGCTATCTCCTAAAACACAACGTCTTCCACACTCACACCACATTACTGGCATCAATATGTTCGATTCTGTAAAATACTGCAAATAGTACAACTTAATTTATGGTTCAGTTTTGTCCACCCACATCACCAAATCCCTTAAAGAAAATATCAGAAGGAGGGAACTCAGTTCCTAACAACCCCCCACTGACATCCTTTGCTATTTCCCTTTCTCACTTGCTGTTTTATTTTTAGCTGTTAAACAACTGGTCTCCTAAAAATGGGCCTGTCCTGAATGGGTTGGGGAAGAGGAGCACGACTATGTATGGTATCCACCCTCAGAATCACACAGGCCTGACAGCTCTCTGCTTTCCCCTTTGTGTCCACACAGAGGGCATGACGGTGTAATCAGAGAACGGGGGAAAGTTTTTAAAAAATTGTTGGATTTCTTTGGGGTATGCCTAAAAGCTTCCACTGACAGATTGCATTCTGCTTCTTCCTGGAGGATTTCCCCTATCCCTTTGCAGGCGTTGGCCAACTGTTCCTGCAGTTTCATTCACTGAATCCAAGTCATCCTGTGGAGGTGTGAGGCAGCTTTGGACCATGCGCTCCCTGTGGTTGTTCCTGCTCCCTTGCCTGGGCCTTGTGAGTGTGGTGCCGGCCGAAAGAGGTTTGGAGTTCCCACAGTACGATGGGAAGGACCGCGTTCTTGACATCGACGACAAGAACTACAAGAGAGCCCTGAGGAAGTACAGCATGCTCTGCCTGTTCTACCATGAGCCCATAGCAGACAGCAAGGAGCTGCAAAAACAGCACCAGATGACGGAGCTGGTGCTGGAGGTAAAGAAGGATGAATATATATCTAAATTTAAAGGTTTCCAGTGAAAAGTGGCAATTAGTTTTTCACTTTGTTTTTAGACATTCTCCAAGATCAGCAACTCTAAGAGCAAAAAACAAAAGATGCAGCAGCGTCGCTTTAGATTATTTTAGCCTAGTTTATTGTGTATTTTCATCCAATAAAAAATGCATTAGCTGTGATCATCCTGTGGCTTTTTGCTGCTGTCAAGAAGTGGCATGAAATCATGAGTAAATCTGAACTGAAACACACAACTCCCTTCTAAGAGCTGAAGGTGTTTGTGTTTACCTGGAAACTACTTAAAAGATTACCGGTAAATGGATCTCTTGCTGTTTAAATGCCAAATAATGTATAATGTCTTGTTCCTGTTGCAGACAGCTGAAGCTGAGCTCCTTTTAAACTTAGAAGTAATTTGATCCCAAACGGCTTTTCTAGCGGCTTGTTTTACGCATCACAGGTGTGCAGATGCACTTTAACCAGACACCCATAAAACAACATGCAATGAATCTGTAGCTGATCACAGTATAGGGTGAACACCTAACTATTAATGTAAACAGAATAGTTCAGAAATTTTGAATTAGGATTCTGTCAAAAGGTTATAAATAATCAATATCTTACCTGTTGTAGATAGCTTTTTGAATGATCTAGTTTGCAAAAAATAAAATAAATAAAAGCAAAGTTTGATTCTGATATAATTGATGAACAAAAAAGGTAGTCAAGCCATTACGACTTTAATCTTAAAAATGCTTCATAAAAAAAAAATTAAAAAAAGTTTACACGGCTGGGAATTTTGTATTTTGAGTATTCAAACAAAAATGTTGAAATAATCTTGTAAAAAGTGTTTCAGGCTGCATTATAAGTGCTACAGCTAGCTGCTGCTGCCACTGTTTGTGCTTTCAATTAATTATAGGCCTCAGCTGAAAATGTATTTCATTTCTAATAAATAATTACTGCAGTACAATTCAAAGAATTACCAACATTATAGCTTCCAAACTCGATATTTCACATCAATAACTTATTTTGAATATTCTTATCCACATGGGCAAATAAGGCTTGACAAAAGATTTGAACAGCATATCATTTACTAATACTTTTGGTACATATATGCACGTGTCCTTTCATACAGAACAACATTAAAATCCCAAAATAATAAACAATAATTTAAATATTAAACTCTATGTAAATATTTAGCTCCACTGCGTTATTATCAGCCTGATTCTCCACAAGACTGTTAATTTTATCCGCATGTTCCATCCTCGGTGGCAGAAGAGGTCAAACACTCCCACAGCTCTTCTACTGTACTGTGCACAACAAATACCAGAACTATTATATACAGTATACTGTTACTTGGGTTATATTTAGAATGTCTCTGAGTGATTATGTAAATGTATCTCTGTGCCCCTGAGTACCTCTGTCATATTGTCAACTATGTTGCTGCTGTCCATCTTCTGTTCACAGCCTTTTTGGATGTCTTGACTTGAAATCTTCATTCATTCATTCATTCATTTATTTTTATAGCGCTTTACACAACCATGGAGATGGTGACCAAAGTGCTTAACAAAAACAGTAATTAACATGACAACAAATTAAAAGCAAGAAAAACACAACAACAAAAAAAAAACAAACACAAAGAAAACCAGAAATGTCACCACATATTTAAGTACTAAACGCCTGTTGGAATAAAAAAGAGAATCTTAAGAGAAATCTTATGAGAAGAAAATGAAATAGAACAAATGATTTTGTTTGCGACTTGTCTTGTAAGGCTTAAATTATTTCCTTGCAGTTTAAACTTTAACGATATATCTTTCAGCTTGTGGCTCAGGTAATGGAAGAGAAGGACATCGGGTTTGGGATGGTTGACTCAAAAAAAGATGCAAAAGTTGCAAAAAAACTAGGTGAGTATCTTTTTGTTAGTTTTTTTTATGGCAATCTTTGATCAATTAGGATGATTTAAAACAGGGTTCTGTGGAAAGATTATGACAATTAATATCTTATCCATTGCAGATAGCTTGATGAATGGCCTCAGATTGGAATAACAGAGTTTATTTCTTACCATATTGACAAGGTAAAGGCTAGTCTGAGCAGAAAAGGCCAAGATGCACTGTCCTGAAAAAACTTAATCTCCAAGTTTTCAACATTGGTCTTGCAATTACCAATTTATAAACATTTCATCACATGCATTACACAAATGTTCAAGCAGAAATCTGATATTTCTGCTGGTATTATCTCTATATGCACCAGCTAGCTTAAGCTAACTTTATTTGCACTATGAAACAACTACAGATATCAATAGATTTGCTGGTATTCTTTAACAAAAATCAAAATAACACATCGGATGTGATTCGCCAAATAAACTCTTGTTTTGTCTCGTCAGTCCCAGAAACTTAGATACTTTGGGCCTTGCCATCATGCATTTTGGCTAAATCTAGTCAGTTTTTTGCTTGTGTTTTTCCTTCAATAATGGAGCTCAACTGGGTCTTCTATAAAGCCCACTATGATTCAAAATGTGACGAACTGTGCAATCAGCAAGTGACTTGAACCATCTGCGCTACACATCTGATCAACCTGAGGTTACATTTATTTTGTGTCCACCTCCTACGTGGGTTCAATTCCTTAAACTTTATACTTTTTAATATTATTGGCAGTGGTGGTCAGAGGCGCATGGAGCTGCTTGTAAATGATCATGGATATCTATAATCTTCTTTATGAGCTACTCAGATTGCTCTCGCCTTTGTTATCTCTGCTCCATGTTCCGTGTGGTGCACACAGCAATATTAAACTACCCGGTGGCATTTTTGTTCTTTTTAAATAATCTGAACGGCTGATGAAAAGCTTGAAGGCACCTGTGATGCTAATTAAGGTCAAACATGTAATTGGAAGCATGACTATAATTCAAATACCTTTTTAAGTCTAAATCTGTTATACAATTTTAGCACATTTAAAAAAAAGCAAATAAACAATAAATCATTTCTTTTCACGTTTTGCATACTCTCACACACTAAAGGCATGCAGATGTGCAATAGACACATGCTTTCTACTGAATCTATTTTAAAGAGAAACAGAGCATTATTTAAATGAGTTGAAGGGGTATCAACAAATTTATCAGCACCTGTATAAATAAATAAATAAATAAATAAATATAAATATATTTTTTTTTTTTTTTTTTTTTTTTTTTTTTTTTTTTTTTTTTTTTATATATATATATATATATATATACAGAAATTTTATGGTTAATAAAATAGCTTTAACATAAACACTCCCAAACTGAGGCCATTTATAGAACTATCTACAGCAGGTAAGATATTAACGCTTCTTAACCTTTTCTCTGAACCCCACTTTAAACAACTTTAAATATGTCTTTAAGAGTCAAATCAGTCTTCCAAATATATTTTTTCCTTTCATTGCAGAGTTGGAGGAGGAAGGAAGTGTCTATGTTTTCAAGGCTGACAGGGTGATTGAGTTCGACGGGCTGCTGTCTGCTAACACTCTGGTGGAGTTTTTGTTGGATGTGAGTGGATTTGTTTCAGAGCAGATTGCCAGCTGTTAGCATTAATCAACAGCTGTCTTGGATCAAAGGTCGTTTCGATCCCTTCCAATCAACTTTGATTCTCTCTGTCTTTAGCTAATGGAGGAGCCAGTGGAAATTATTGAAAATGCCCTGGAGCTGAAAGCCTTTGACAGAATGGAGGAGGACATTCGTCTCGTTGGTTACTTTAAGAGTGAAGACTCTGAGTGTGAGTGTTTAAGTTTGTAAAATATACGGTCCTTTTCCCCTACTCACTGCCTTTGTTAGATGGCTCAGAGATGGACTTCCTGTGCCCTTCATTAGAACATGAGCCCATTTTAACCTGCTCATCTTCATAAATTTACAGATCCAATTTTACCCTTGCTGCTAGCACAGCTGTCCTCTCACATGCTGGCTTACTCTGAGCTGCAGCTACATCCCATCTGACCATCTGTGGGAACTTTGCAGTCAAAGTTGTGCTACTTCCACCCCCAGTGTGTGACCACAATGACAAGAGAACAATATTTCAATCAATAAATAACATTTCATGAGATGGAAATCTATCTTTGACATTTGGCTCATACATATAAAACAACACAAGTTAAAAATACCACAACACTTTAAAAAGCTTTGCTAACACAATAAAACCAATTCTAAAATACATGATACGTTAAAAACATAAAAACATCTTACCAGACAATGGTTTGTCATGTGAAGCTACATCAGGGGCCTATTAAGAACACCCACAGCAGAGGAAATTATTTACTTTTTGTACCCATTTTTCTTTACAAGAGGAGCTATCAGTCTTCTGCCAGATGGTACCAACCTGAATAATGGTTGCGGTGGATGAGTTGGGTCATTGTAAACCTGCATTGCATTTTTTTTTCTAGATCCTGATGGTACAGGTCTTTAGGTTGCATTTGTTGATGACCAATGATTTTACTACCTTGTTTGACCACCCGGGACAACTTGTTCTGTTTGTTGGCTAGGAGGTTCCCATACCATGAAACAATATTAAAGGAAGTAACACTTTCAACCAGTGACCTGTACACCAATTGCAAGGTATTTTGCTAGCATTAGATGTGCTTAGCTTATATAGAAGGTGAAGATGCTCTCTGGCATTTTTGTAAATACAGTCAGTGTTGAGCTGAAAGGTCAACTTGTTGTCAATTACTGTTCTGAGGTATTTAAATTCAGTTACCTGCTCTACTTCCAGACCTTTTATAACAGAAGGTCCATGTCTGGTGCTGGCTCCTCCCTATCCACCTCCCAGACAAATCCCCTTGGTTTTACTGACATTAAGGTCCAGAAAACTGTCATCAAACCAGGCAGAGTGCTGATCTATGAGCTGGGAGTAGGAGAGACAATTGGTGTCTTTCAGCCCAGCAACTAGGGCTATATCATCAGCATACTTAATAAATGCTAAGCCTTTGTTGTTATGTCGAAACTCGTTTATGTATAAAGAAAATAAAAGTGGTGATAACACACAACCCTGTGGAACACCAGTGTTCAAAACCCTGTAGTCAGATAGAGTGTTATCAACACAGACTTGTTGGGGTCTTTCTCTCAAAAACTATAATCCACAACACAAGATAGCTGCTAACATTTAAATCACACAGGTGTTTTAAAAGAATATGCAGCTGAACCATATTAAAAGCTGATGAAAGCTCCATGAATAATATGCAAACATATGTCTTTGGGTTGTCTACGTGATTATGGGCCTTGTTGAGGAGGAAGAGAGATGCATCCTCTACCCCTCGGTTAGCCCTATAAGCAAACTGCATGGAGTCCATATAGTCAAAAGACATGAGTTACCTGCTCACCAGACACCCCATACATTTGATGTAATGGCAATTGGTCTAAAATCATTCAGTGACTTTGCATGTGTTGTTTTGGGCACCGGGACAATAGTTGATTTATCCATGCTTGTGGGACAAGGCCAGTAAAGATTTGTGCACAACTAAACCTTTGTTTCCTAGATTATGACGCATTTAAAGAAGCTGCAGAAAACTTTCAGCCCTACATTAAATTCTTTGCCACGTTTGAGAAATCTGTAAGTTGCAAACACAAACAATGCTGTAGAGAAACAGGTGCAGTTGACTGACCCCCCTGATGTGCTTCAGGTGGCCAAAGAGCTGACTCTGAAGCTGAACGAGGTAGACTTCTACGAGCCTTTCATGGAGGAGCCTGTCACCATCCCAGGCAAGCCTCACTCCGAGGAGGAGCTGATAGAATTCATTAATGAACACAGACGGTAAACAAACTACTCTGCGTTTATTCCATCCGATTTCTTTTCTTCATTATTGGATTTTTTTTGTTGGCTTTTTGTCCTGATCCTGTGTTTTCACTGTGGCACTAGACCAACCCTGAGGAAGCTGCGTGCAGAGGACATGTTTGAGACATGGGTCAGTCATGAGCACCAATTATACATAATTGATTAGTTTTGTCAAACTTTTATTATAGTTTTGTATATCTCGTTATTTTCAGGAGGATGACATTGAGGGCATCCACATCGTGGCCTTTGCAGAGGAGGAGGATCCTGGTGAGAATGTGTTAAATTATAGAAGACATTTAAAAAGACAATGTGAGACCATTGTCATGCAGCCAGTTAATTGAAAGCACCAAGACATATGTAAAACATTGTCAGAAATAATAGAAAAGCATAAAAACAAATAGAACTCAGTTAATTTAGTCATTAAAACAGCAACAACAAGAAAAAAAATCTCAGTGTGAGCAATGAGTTTAGGAAGTTTATGCTGCTGTTAGTCACTTATTAATCTGGGAAACCAAATCTTGGTTTGGTTGGTCGATAACAACATGAAGGGTTTACATAAATTGTTATTATAATAGAATTGTTAATTGTTATTCCAGATGGTTATGAGTTCTTGGAGATCTTGAAGGAGGTTGCCAGAGAAAACACTCAACTTCCTGAGCTCAGCATCATCTGGATCGATCCCGACGATTTCCCACTGGTGAGCCGCACACATCATTAACGGGAGGAACAAACAGAGATGAGAGAGATATATACATAGATAATAATTAACAAAACAAAACTGAAAAAATGTGTGTGGGTCCATATCTGATGCTGTCTTTTATCCTGCTGACCACTTCCAGCTGATTCCCTACTGGGAGAAAACCTTCAAGGTGGATCTGTTCAGGCCGCAGATTGGAGTCGTCAATGTTACAGACGTGAGCCCCTGACTGCCTGTTGAAAATGATGACAAGTTTCTATGACACAGCCTGATCATTGTGTGTGTGTGTGCGTGTGTGTGCGCACGGTTGCAGGCAGACAGTGTGTGGCTAGAAATGGAGGATGAGGAAGATCTGCCCACGGCTCAGGAGCTCGAGGACTGGATCCAGGATGTTCTCTCTGGCAAAGTAAACACTGAAGATGATGATGTTGATGATGACAACGACGACGATGATGACGATGATGACGATGATGAAGATGATGAAGATGATGAAGATGAAGACGATGATGATGAAGAGGACGATGATGAAGAGGATGATGATTAAGATATAGCTAAAACTAATTAATTACCCAAGAGTTGCCTTCTCTTCAGTCAATTTACTATAAATTTAAATAATTTATCAATAAAAACAATTCAGTACATACTGAATATATTCCTGCTGATAATTAAATATATATATACATACATACATAAAATACACTTAATTATTTATTATTCTGCCTCTGTAAATAAACCTGGGATGGGTTTGGAGATTATAAAAAGAAGAAGCATTTGTACACTTAAACTTCTAAAAGGGATCGGACAACAAATGTTTTTAATAAATGCCTGATAATAATAAAGAACTTTTTAATTCCTTTAACGATGCAGCATCATTTATAGCTTTACAAGTAAAACTATCATGTGACGCTTTGCTCTTCCTCCTTTAGATCTCTATCAGCAGCTGCAAGAAGCAATTAGAGGAGCATGCAGCTCAGCTGGAGGTGCCGGTAACCATGGCAACTTGTTGCTTATTGCAGATGCAACTGGCAATCAAATGGCAGAGAAGCATGTTGAGTTTGCAGTTAATTCTTATTTCTGTTGGCTAAATTTTAAAAAGAGTTCACAATACATTTCCCAACAGACAAATGCAGATTTGCAAACAAATGTAAATATAAAGATTTTTTTATGAGCGGTACTGATTTGTGCTGCCTTTATTCCTCTGGAAACAATAGTAGCACAGAAAATCACACTGACCTGTTATTTTTACTGTATCAAACTCACCACATAAACACTGGGGTGAGCTCTGTGTGCATGCACGCACCTGTTTGCAGACATCTGCCACAACAGAAGTCTGTTGGAGTCAGCCTCCCCACCACCACAGACATCTACACTTCCAGATGCAGGAAGAGGGCCCCCTGCATCATGAAGGACCACACTCACCCAGCACACACACTTTTTGCCCTGCTCCCCTCAGGAAGGAGGTTGAGGAGCATTAAGTGTAGAACCATTAGACTGAGGAACAGCTTCTACCCTGAGGCTGTTAGACTCATGAATATCTAACCAGAATAATCACTGTGAAAAATCACTGTAATTCCACTTGATTGTTGATACGTGCTGCTGATATCCATGTTGCTGATCTCATGCTGCTGATTTATTTCACACTGCTGTATTCATTCGTACTCATCTGCTCACACAGACTCATGTTCGTGCTGCTGTTAGGCGTATTGTTTTTGTACTATTAGTGCTTAGTGTATTCTTAATTTAGCATATTTCTTAGTTCATATATTGGATCTTATTACTGTTTTACTTTACAATTTATACTTTTGTTGGAAATAACTGGGACCCTGTGTACACAATTTCGTTCATGTGGTGGAACGACAAATAAAGAAACCTTAACATTCTAGGCTGAAACAAATGATATGCTTGAGCTTTAAGGATCATTTAGTTCACAAATCAGCCAGTTTGGTAAAATAAATCCGTTTTAGACTCTGAAAAGGTTTAGAAATCAAGTAAATTGTTCAAACAGACCAAAAACATGCATGTTAGGCTGATTGGTAACTCTAAATTGTCCCTATGTGAGAGTGAGAGAGTGAATGGTTGTTTGTCTTGTTTGTCTCTATGTGTCCCTGTGATGGACTGGAGACCTGTCCAGGGTGTCCCCTGTTTCTCACAGTGATGGCTGGACATGGGCACCAGTGACCCCCATGCCCCGAAAAGGAAGAAGTGGGTAAAATATAATCGATGGACAGATGATTGGTTTCCAACATTTTTGGCCACATAAACAAAAAGTCCCGATCCCTATTTAGGGTCTATTAGCTAATTAAAAAACAATCAGAGTACAAAACAATGTAAAAGGTAATTACAAGCATTTATTTACTTCTTAAAAATTTTCCACAGCTGCTGTGGTTGTACACGTTTTTGTTGTATAAAAGAAGACAGGGACAACGTGTGAAACTTGTCAGCTGCTGGAGATTTGGGAAGTGCCATTTATCCATCCCCCCCCCCCCCCCCCCCCCGCACACACACACATATACACACACACACAATTGCAAATGCAAGCTGAGCAGATCCTGTAAATGAAGTATAACTGAGGCACGTGTAGTTCAGAGAAGGTATTTACAACCATCAACACTCATGAACACAACTACACTGTGAGCACAGTAATACTGTCAAAATGTGACACAACAAGCCTCACAAATACAAAAAGTTTATAAAAAGACACTCCAGCTGTTCGGCCACAAACACTCTGTTTCTTTCATGGCAGGCAGGTGGCAGCAGAGCATCAGACACTTCATTCAAACTAAATGATTCATTTTGAACACCTGCCTAAACATTTGCCAGCATGAGAACACAAATAATACATTTTTCAGACGGTCTTATGTAACAGCATCCTTACATCTTTTATGAAAAACCCAGAAATCTGTTCTGAAAAAAGGATCTTTTAGAAATGTGCTTTAATGTCACTAACAGTAAATAAACAACCATAGATTAAATTTTAATTCATTCTTATTATCCTACAACAATGCACATGGCAACACTGAGCTGATCAGTTGTTTTTCTTCACAACTCTGAAGTCGAGTCAATCAAACAAAACAAATACACAAGGTAAAAAATCTTGGACATGGTAAAAAATATTCCAACGATATGCAGTTTTAGTATAAAAAAAAATCACTTGGGCTAATGTGTATTCACATATAAATACTGTACATACTTTTGTAATAAAGAATGATTATAAATAATGGTTATAATAAAAAAGTGGTCCCAGTAAATCAGTTTAAACAGACTCCAGTGTTGACCTCCAAGAAAAGCACTTGACACTTTTATCCTAAATGCCACATTTTGCTAAACAACTGCACACACGGACGCACGCAAACAAAGGGTGAGAGATGTTTGTGCATAGAGGAAGAACGAAACTGTGCCCTGCGTACATCCACACAGAAAGTCAAGCGTCTTTCCTCCTTCTTTTGTATCGTTTATAATCCTTCAAGTCTCCCATCACAAAGACAAAATACTTTATATGAGAAAACTACTTACACAGAAGTACAAAAAAAAAAAAAAAAAAAAACAGTATAAAAAGTTCATTTTGAAAAAAAAAAAAATCCAGTCAGAAAACATGAACAGTTCTGCTCGACTGAGTTGCTACTACACGGAGGTTTCTGACTGGAGCAGCAGTATAAACTTGTGTAACTTGGGGTCGATGTACTCCTCGGTCAGACGGATGTATGGGATGCTCTTGACCGTGACAGCTAAGCTAAAGTCAAGACACTTCAGCAGGAACTCGGTCCCCTCCTTAATGGCACTGGTGACAGAAGCCTCACTGATCAAAGTCCACTGATCGGCCATCCAGCGCTCCGGGCCGTACTGCAGGGTCGGACCAGGAGCGAGGTAAGCCTCGAGGAAGGCCTGAATGCAAAAAAAAGTAATGTCACTGCCGAATTAACTAAACAAACAGGACACCTCGTCTAACAAACAGGACACCTCGTCTAAAGCTGTATTCTGTATTTTTCAGACTATAAGGCACACTTAAAATCCTTTAATTTTCTCAAAAATCAACTGTGAGCCTTATAATCTGGTGCACTTTATAGTCTGATAAAAATGTACTTTTTACAACCATTTTATAGCTAAAAGTTGAAATGTGAAGTAGATTTATGCTAAAACCCATTATTTATATATAAAATCAACAATTTGATGTCCATTATTTATTTTTACGTGAAGAAATCCCTCAGTTTAAATAATTAGCACATATTCTAAGAAAGAAAGTTTCATAGCAATTCATAGTAAACCTCTTTTAAATATCCTTACATTGCCTCCAGTCCTATGGTTCACGGTTGCATTTTGTTTTTTACATATACCAGTAAATCTATGGTTATTTGCAAATAGTGTTAATACCAGCTAGTTATAGCACTTGTTGTGCAGTCCGGGACATTTCTGCAAGAATCTTTTATTATTTCTGTTAGAATAACAATGTAATGTGGAACTACCAGCAAAGTAAAAGTGTATAAAATAAGCTTAGCCTAAAATGCTATGATATTAGAGTATTGTTTTAAGACACCAGTAATCTACTATATTCTTGGTTCCACTCAGATTAGCTGCTCATTTTTTTTAAATTATATTCAGAATTATACTCTAAATATCCAAATTGAGGTTGTTCAAAGAGCTATCTATAACAGGTATGATATTAATTGTTCATAACTGTTCCACAGAACCTCAATTCCAAAGATCTTAACAATAAGATCCACCATCTCAGTTTGGAATAGTTCCAAGAAGAAGCTCTTGGTGATTAAGAAAATGTCAATGCATGCATGTTTGGAGTTCTAGTTGATTGGACACATTTTATTTTAAGCCTATATGCCTTTTTAATATATTTTTTTTAAATTCCAGTCAATAAAGACTTAAGTGCTAATAAAATCTAATCAAACCAGTTTAAGCAGCCTAAGCAAGTAAAAAAAAAAAAGATTGTTTCAGCAACCATGATGATTAAACTTCACATTAAAATCAAACTTTTACTCAATAAATGCATCAGATGTTGTAAAAAAAACATCCTTATGAGTCTGTGGAGAACGGAACGTGACTAAATGAAATAAATACATAATAATGAAATGTATTATTTAATTATTACATACATAATTAAATCATTAAACATACAATTAAATTATTAAATACACAATAATTTTTTTTATTTAATGATTCATTAATTTATTACATTTTGTAATACATTAATTTATTATGTATTTATTTATTTCATTTAGTCACATGCCGTTCTCCATCCATCACATCCTGACCTTAGGGCTCATGTTATTAACGAGACAAAAGGCGAGGTGCTTCTGGATGCTCTCCATGGTGTGGCAGTGCTGCCTCCTGGTGGTGCGGAGGTATTTCTGCATAGCTCGAGCCATGGAGGGAAACACAGCTAGAGCGGCCTCGTGAACATCCATGATGTCAGACGGCGTTGCGTTCTCATCCTCTTTCTTCATCCGGCGGACGTGCGTGAAGGCCTCCTCCACAGCCACCACCAGCCTGACACACATGGACACACAGCAGTTAGTTAACCTGATTCACCTGTTTTTAAATAAAATCGCTCGTACGGAGAATGCGGTTCAGACTCTTAGATATTGTGTAGCACCCATTACAATACTGCTGGCAATTCATTTCTACTAAACAAAAAGTATAACGTTTTTGTAGTTAATCTATTTTCTGCAAATAGTCACTGATGCTGTGACCTCATTAGGCATGGACTCAGTTTTATCCCATAAAGTAAACCGTAGTAAATTGTGGATAATAAAGCTGACCTTCAAGGATTTGTGAAACATTGGATTTGGAAATTGCTCTGTGCGGCTACATGGCTCAAAACCAAGAGCTTATTTGGGACTGTAGAATGTGTTGGATCTGAAGTGGTTGATGATGAAAAACTAAATGTTTTGCTTCAAACAACCAGTTGGGTCAAGCTGCAACAAAAATTAAACTAGGCGTGTCAGGCATAGCAACATTTACATAAAATGTACTCGTATAGATGTCAGCTGCATGCATAATGTTCATAAAAAATTTAAAAGGTGCATGTGTAAAATTCAAATGCTCCCTGTTCCTCCCTCGTGTATCCTCTTGGCTCAGATTCTAACGTGCAGGTGGTTTGACTCACCTTGCTCTGCGTTTGCGAACTCTCCTTTCATAGTCGGCCTCTTCGTAGTACAGCTCATTGTGCGCATTGTCTTTGCGTTTGGCGGCAGGTGGAGCCGTGGACCGCGACTGATTTCCATCACTGGTCTGAGCCATCGCTGTGCTGCCTGGGGCTGCAAACGGAGGGCGAGGACAAACTGATTAGATCAGCTGAAGGAAAGCAGCCCCTGACCCTGCAGCCCCACCACCACCACCAGTGATGAATGAGCACGGTGGTGAAAACTCACATCTGAGGGGAACTCAGATCTTATCACTGGAAATGCCAAACAAGTGAGCGTGAACCTTTCTGGGCCACGATATGTTCATCATAATTATCTGGGAAATTTTGGTCAGACTTCTTCACAAACACTCTGTTGCAGAATCATTTCACTGTGTGTGGCTTGGACTAATTATTTTGCTCATCAAAGTCCAAAAATCATGTTTGATGTTTGAGTTTATGAGAAAAAAACGTAAAAAACTATTAGCGCATGTTTTCCAGGGTTATATTATGGAGGACTTGGTGCATATGCATGAAGATCAGTAGCGTTAGGGGGAGGTAACAGACTAATGCTGCAGGTCAGGTATGGATATAAATCATTAATAGTCTGATCTGCATTTACATGTATTTAAGCATCTTTCTACGCAGGTGAGCAGCTGACACTGTAATAAAAGTTGGATATGAAATATCCTAGATGTTTGTGGCAAGAAGCTTTGTAACTATTTTCTATGGATTAAACACGTGAACATGCACTTCTTTACCTCCTGGCCTACATATCCCGTTATAATAAGAGCAGTGACTGTGGATGAATGAATGGGGAAGAAAGAAGCACGTGCAGGGGTTAGCAAGGGGGAAAAAGGACTGAACAGGAGGAGCTGGAGACAGGCTGAACGGCTGGAAGGAGAGATGTGGGAGAATGTGAGAAATGAGCGTTACTCTGATGAATTATTTAAGGCTTGAAATTCTGCGGGCCCCTGGAGGCCTTTCTGTTGCACCACGATGGGGAAAGGGATGGGCTGCATGGAATGCGCTATTAGGGCACCACATCCCGTACTATACCCCTGCAACAGATCCAGAAAGCTTCAGTGCTCTGGAGCCGACGGGAGACTAATGGATGGCGAGCAGAAGATCCTTTTGTCCACAGACAAGAGAACAATACGAAGCATTGCAGATTATGTGCATCTGGGCGCTGGGAGGCAACGTATAAAGTGCATTATGGCGCTGCACATGGAGTGTGCTTGATAGAGGCAATACTTTGTTCTGGAAGTGAAGGCTTCAGTGTGCAATTTTACTGAGACAAGCTGTGAAATATGTCACGTCTGGTGCTAAACTTTGAACTTTGACCAGTATGATTTGGAGTTTTATTTTATTTTTTAGGTAATAGCAGGAGGGACATACGGTAAATGGAAAAACTTTAGAGCAGAGCAAGAAATTACATGTGTATGAAGTGACTAACCGTCTACGTTGTAGACCTTTAACCCAGCCAGGTGTTTGGCAGCCCGGTGTTTGGAGGCAGACAGAAGGGCTGGGTTGTGTAGTGGAAAGTCTCTGTAGTAATACTCCAAAATGGACAAAGCAGCCCTTTGAATACTGCAAGACACAAGAGACAGAAAAGATTAGTAGAGTTTACATTACAGAAGATTTATACAGGATAAGAGTTAATAATAATCTTGAATCCACCAACAGAAGCTCTTTGAATCTGCTGCTTGCTGTTTTTTCTCTTCTCTCTTGGTACACTGATTAAAAGATGTACAAGAGTAATTTATTATCATTTAGCCGTGACCTGAACCAGACAAATGATCTATTTTTTCCTCACACATCTTCATCATTTACCTGCTCCCTGACTCTGTTGGAAAACTGGCTGTATTAGACCAACGGTGGAGATAACCTTGGACTGAGAACCCCAAATAATGAGCTGAAGTAATGGAGCAAACTCCCTTTGTTTGCTTTTCTAATCAAGTTTTAACTAAAGAGATCAATGAGGAAACTTAAACTCAATGTAATGTTTGCTGTCAGAAGCTTTGGATTAACTTCATTTTGTTTATTACTCCCTGTTAACCAGTTTTTCTATAACTCTCAAGTTCATATCACATAAATCGAACGCAAATGCCAATCTTCAGGTCATTTTGCGTTAATGCCAAAAAGGAGACAAAGCAAGACATTCACAAAGCGAGCACCCTGTCCGGCCCTTTTTCATCCCTCCCCCAAACTCTCAGAATATCTTCCACTCTGACGAGACTCCTGAGTAACTCGATTACTGCCTGTGCCAATCTTCCCTGTGGACATGAGCCTCCAATTACACACATACTTCAGCAAGGGGAGTGTGGCAGAAAGCCTCTCTGTATGTGTGTGTGTGTATGAGTGTGTGTGAGTGTGTAAGAGTGTGCAAAAAGGTCAAATTCACGTGAAGTTGCTGAGGGCATCTGTGTAACTGTGGGAATGATTTAAGCATTCTTGCATACCTGAGCTGTCCTATGTTGTAGTGACGGGTCTCTCCGTCTGTGGAGCGGATCACACAAACGCTGTAGCAGGGCCGAAGGTGGCGGAGCTCCAGCAGCACCACCGCCAGGTAGTGAACGAACAGCTGTGAGTCCACCAGGGACACGGCGAACTGGACGATACCTTGGTAATCCTCATCCTGGGTGCACCACACAAAACGTTATATTGGATTCAGCTTTTTTAAATACATTCCTGTTGTTTTTTTGGTCCAAGGTGTTAGGAATAAAAATCATGGCTGTTGGATACCAGCCAACTCCTCATCTTTGATCTCCAGTTTCATGAAATACAAGCAGCTTTCAAACTGAACCTGAACTGAGCTTCTGTTCACCTTTAAGGGTCTACATGATGTTCCATCCCTGCAAGTCCCCCACAACCCCCACGTCACTCAAAATACATTAAATATATTGCTAAACAAAGACTAAAGATCAACCTTATGCTGAATAATAATTTTGTCCATGACCTGACTGGTCAAACGTTTCGCTGCCTAAAAAGAGATTTATTCAACTTTAAGTAGATTATATTTTTGTTACGGTGTATTTGTGTATGAACATATCCACCACAAAGTCAGTCAATGATTTGTGGATTACAAATTTGATGCTGACTAAGTAATGTAGATATCACTACTTTAAATTCCTACACCCAGAAACAAACTAACGATAAAAACAAGCAGTCAGTGGTTCTAATGGTACTGAGTTAGAACCTCGACACACTTTAAAATCTTAAATAAATTATCGGTCAAAGTGTACATTTTACTTTTGTTTTCTAAGACAAAAAAAAAGTTATCTTTTTATTTAAAAAGAAAACAAAGAATAATGAGTTACAGGATATAACAAATAATATTATTTTGATAAAAAATTGCATCTGTTTGTGTTCTTTCATTTGACTTAAACTTTATTAAAATAGAAAATTATTGTTGAGAATAAAAAAAAAACTTTTGAAAATGGCAAGTTTGATTGACAGTTGGACTACGAGACACATACATCATGAAGTGGAAATCCAAGTAAACTTCTTATTTTGGCTTTTCCATTTTCAGGTGTCTCCACAGCGAGTCATCCTCCTCCATCTCACTCTGTCCACATGTCCTCTCTAACTGCATCCATACATCTCCTCTTTGTCTTTTTCCTGGCAGCTTCATTTCTAACATCCTTCTACCAATATACCCACTGTCCCTCCTCTGGACATGTCCAAACCATCTCAGTCTGGCCTCTCTAACTTTATCTCCCCGTTGTTCAACCTGTGCTGTACCTCTGATGATCTTATTTCTAATCTTATCCATCCTTGTCACTCCTAAAAAGAACACCAGCATCTTTATTTCTGCTACTTCCAGTTCTTTCTCTTGTCTTTTTGTCCATATCTCTGTCTCCAGACCATACAACATTGCTGGTCTCACCACGGTCTTGTAAACTTTTCCTTTGACCTTTGCTGACACCCTTTTGTCTCAAATCACTCCTGAAACTTTTCTCCATCCACTCCATCCTGCCTGGACTCTCTTTTTCACCTCTTTACCACAGTCCCCATTTTCCTGGACAATGGACCCCAGGTACTTGAAGTCCTGCACCTTTGTGACCTCTGATCCTTTTAGCCTCACTGTACCACCGGCCTCCCTCTCATTCACACACATGTACTCTGTCTTACTACGACTGACTTTCATTCCTCTTCTTTCAAGTGCATACCTCCACCTCTCCAAGTTCTCTTCCACCTGTTTCCTGTTCTCACCACAGATCACAATGTCATCTGCAAATATCAAAGTCCATGGGGATTCCTGCCTGACCTGATCTGTTAGTCTGTCCATCACCAGAGCAAACAAGAAGGGGCTCAGAGCTGATCCTTGATGCACTCCCACCTCCACCTTGACGCTATCTGTCACTCCTACAGCACATCTCACCACTGTCCTGCTGTCCTCACATATGTCCTGTACCAGTCTAACATACTTCTCTGCCACTCCAGATTTCCTCATGCAACACCACACCTCTTCCCTTGGCACCCTGTCATGCTTTTTCTAAATCTACAAAGACACAATGTAGTTCTTCCTGACCCTCTTTGTACTTCTCCATCAGCATCCTCAAAGCAAAGATGGCATCAAAGATGGCTCTTTCTTGGCATGAAACCAAACTGCTGCTCACAACTTCTTTTTAATTAAAAGAATTACAGGTAGCTTCATTCTTGATAAAAACATATGCTTGTAGCAAGCTTTATTTGTTTTAAACATTTCCAAAAATAATTTGAAAATATTTTTCTTGATTATGAAAGCCATACACAAAATAATATTACTTTTTGAAGGAATTCTTGCAAACCTACCTGTGCATCGAGGATCCGAACCCCATAGAAAAGCCAGTAAGACATGGTGAGCAGGAGTGTAAGCGTAGTGAGGAAGGCACGATACACACACACCCTGGGTAGGCAAGCCCGGCTCGGCCTCAGAAACAAGGCCCAAATAGCAACCAGGAGCATGAGGATCTTGAAGGAGATGGAGAGGAAGAGACCCTCGCAGGCTGTGTCACAAGTCTGAGGTCTGTCAGGCCACATCACTGCTGGAAGAAGCAGGAAGACCAGGGGGGTGGCCAGAACCAGCAACCCCACGCATGAACCCACAACCAAAGGGAGGTAGCGGCGGAAACTCTGGGTCCGGTCCTGTATCTCCTTCCCGAGGCCAACAACCTCCTCCTGGGAAACGCTGAGCTCTGAAGTCCCCGTCACTGCTGTGGTGGTTTCTCCCCAGTTATCATCCTGAACGGAGAAAACAGGAAAAAAGGGGAATAATTCAAGCCATTACTCACATTTGAAAATCACAGGCTGTCAAATGGTCTTTAACAAAGTTAACCTTCAACTGCTGACCAAATGCAGGTTTAAATCCAGGTGAGCTGCTGCTTCTTAAACACCTGAAAAGAAAGCTTTTGCTTAGTTTGGCTCTAGACTGGGCAGCACGATGGCTCAGTTGAGGGAGCTGTTACCCCTCAACGAGAAGGTCGCCAGATCGAATCCCGGCCGAAAGCCTTTCTGGGTGGAGTTTGCATGTTCTCTCCGTGCATACATGGGTTTTATACGATTTCCTCTCACAGACCAAAAACATGCATGTTAGGCTGATTGGTAACTCTAAATTGTCCCTAGGTGTGAGTAAGAGAGTGAATGGTTGTTGGTCTCGTTTGTCTCTGTGTCCCTGTGATGGACTGGAGACATGTCCAAGGCGTCCCCCACCTCTCGCACCGTGACTGCTGGATATGGGCACTGATGACCCCTGCAACCTGAAAAGGAAGAAGTGGGTAAAAGATAATGGATGGATGGATGGATGGCTCTAGATCAGGGCCTTCCAACTAAATCGCCCAGGGAGCCACAGTTAATGAACTCCAAGAGCTCAGGGGCCGGACATCCAGCAGCTATTGTCAGTAACTAAGTTTGTTTTATGGTTTAAAATCTAGGTTTAATTGAAAATTAACCCATTGTTGGGCCGAACTGCACAGATCTAGATTGAATATGCTCTGTGAAAATGTAACAGTGGTAGCAGCTACACCTAAAGGGAAAATTAAATCAGTTGCTGACCATGAAGCAACTGCTTGTCTATAAATTAAGAAAGTGACCGTCTTTAAATATATAAATGGTGGTAAAAAAAAAAAAGGTTCCCTAAAATAAGCCCAAACGTCATCCATGACGAAATGAGACATGTCTGTTGGAAATGGACAAACATGAAGTATTTTAATTTTGCTTACACACTTCTTAGTCATCAAAGCACAAAAGATTTCAAGGTCCAGGCACTCAGCACATCTTATTTTAAATTGTCTGACTTCCTTTGGTCTTGCCTCATTACGGTAAGCCTGAAGTAATGTAGGACGACAGCACTGGGTGGGTAGTAAGGTTCAAGCAGCAAGAAAGATGTGCACTGCAGCATGAAGCGCACGCAGACACACACACTGGATCACAACCACGAAAGCTGTAGCTTTTATGCCCATCATTACAATCTATAGTAATTCTTTTTCATCCAAACAGTCATTATGAGCATAAATATTTCCAACAAACTAACATGGGCAGGATAAATTTACGTCTACTCCAAGGAGGCATTTGTTTTTTTGTTTTTTGTTTTCCTGTCATTAATTCAGACAACTAATTAGTCATTCATTGTCCCCGCGAGTGTCCCTGTGTTGAGCCAACTACAACCAATCACTTCTGGAGCTGCTGTGGAAAGACAGATGGAGGCTGGAAAAACGACAAGCTGCACGGAAACACCTTCTTGTCTTCACACACGTGCACACTCACACACATATAACTAAGAACATCAAGAACACGTCGAGCCTCCAGCCTGCTGCGAAGCTGCTGCAAAACCAGACAACAGACGGTCACATTAGAGCTCACCTGTCTGGAGTGTGTGTGTAGAAATGAAGCCTGGGCTATTAAGATGTTAAAATAAACGTGCGCAGGTGTAGTGAGGACTGGGGTTATTTTTGGTAGATAACATTTCAAGTCAACATTGCAGCAAAATACTAAATGCACACAGATTCCATCCTCCATTGCAGTTAACAACCAATTAACTCAGCCTTGCTGGAGGAGGGGGACACCAACGGGAGCCAGAAGATAAATGAGCATAAAAAAAGGAAGGAAAGTCAGAGAGGGGGAAGGCTGTAGTGCAATATGGCAGCAGAAGAGAGGAGAAGATGAGGCTGAGGAGGTGTGGAGGTTAGAAGTGTTTTATCCTGCATGTGTGTAATGAAACCAGAGGTCAGCTGGGCACAAGCAGCATCAGCTTCCTTTAATTGTGTGAATGTTTATGAAGCATTCACTCTATTGTGATCCATTTTTCTTCTGTACGTATTTCGGCTCGATTCTAATCCCGCAGCTTTCAAGCCATTTCAACAAATCATATATCAAAACCTTCAGATCGTTCAGGACAATCAGGCTGAGACTTTTGGTATTGATGCAACTTTAGCTTTTTGGAATATTTATCCTTTTCTGCCATTTCTTTTCCTCATAGGAAATGAATTGAGCTCATTTTTACCTCCTTCAAATCTCTAGATCTGTTTACAACCTTTTACTGCTCCTTTCACATTTTGCTCTGCTTCAGCTTCTTTCAGCTTCCTTGTGCAAATTTAAACTTTTTTCCCAGCTATTTTCAGCTGTTTTGTGCTCCTTTCAGATTCTTTCTGCTAACTACAACATTTTTTTTTTGTTTCTTCTTACTTCTTTCTGCTAAACTCATCTTGTTCTGCTCCTTTCAGCTTATTTATGCAAGTTTGAGCTTGATACTATTTCAGCTATTAGCTGTTTTTATGCTAATTTAAGCCTTTTCAACTAATTCAACATTTTTTAAACATTTAAACTTTTTTCGGCCTAATTCAGCAAAAATGTGCTCTCTCCACTTCCTTAAACTTTTAGCTACTTTACAGCTGTTTTTTTGGTCTAATTTCAGCTTTTTTTTCCAGATAATTTCCATTTTTGTGCTCATTTCTGCTTCTTTCAACCTAATTGGGCAAACGTTATTTCTGCTATTTTAAATGCTAATTTAAGCATTTTCATTTACATTTCTAACATTTTTAAGCTAATTTCAGCTGTTTTCAAATAAATTCAAGCTTTTTATTGTAATTTCTGCTACTTTCAGGCTAACTAACGTATTTACGCTCATTTCAGCTTATTATGCTTGTTTCATCTTATTTCTGCTATTTCAACTAATATTTATCTGTTTTATGCTCATTTTTGCTTTTTCAGCTAATTCCTCCATTTTTAAAAAAACTAATTTAATCTCTTTCCACTTCATTCTGGTAGTTCAAGCTTCTTTCTGCTTTTTCAGCTTCTTTTCAGCTTTTTTTTTTTTAGCTAAATTCCTAATTTTTGTGCTAATTGCTGATTATTTAAACATAATTCAGCAAATATGTGTTCGTTCTGCTTTCTTCAGCTACTTTAGGCTAGTTCTTCATTTCAGCTACATGTCAGCATGTTTTTAGCTAATTTCAGCTGTTTTTCAGCAAGTTCTTCAGCAATAAGCATTCACACTGCATTTTCACAGGAAGTGAAATTTCTCTAGTTGCTATTTTAAGTTCAGCTCTTATCCCTTCAAGTTTTCTTCTATTTCATATAAAAACACAGTTTGATGACCGGATCTATAAATAAAACACATCATCCTACACTTGATTGTAAGATCAAAAGCAAACAAAAATATACAAAGTATAATATGATCTGAACTTGAATATGAGTAGTTTTTACCTCAATTTGGAAATGACTCTTGTAGCCTTGTTTGAAGTGCAATTTTAAGTTTAAATTGAAGCTGCTTAATAATTCAGAATGCATTAAGCATTGATTTAAAATCTGACAAACCATCCCAGAACCAAGATTTCTATTCAAACATCTGCAATTATGGCTTGTTTAGATATGAAGAAACAGAAATCACCAATAAAGCTGTTAAAACCAGCCACAATGTCATTAATTTTAATGCTTAGTCAGACAAGTCTTTGTAGTAATATAGTAAAATTAAGAGAAACTGACAGAGACAGAAAGAAACAGAACAATGTGGTTGTTGCCAGTTTTCTCAGATCAGACAGAAGCAGATTATGGATTATCATTCAATCTGTGAAACACCACAACTCTGCAAATATGCTGCCAAGAGCAAAGTACAGTGTGAAGTGTTTGTGTTGGAGATGATTTAGTGTCTGTGTGTGTCAGTGTGTGTGGGAGATTTATTATAAGTGTGAGACGAAAATGTTTATAACTCCTGGAAGGCTTCCTTGACTTTTCTGCTTTCCTTTTACTGCAGGGCGTGTTTTGATATCAAATAACATGCATGTGTATGAAATGTAAACAGATACACACATCTATTCTGAGAAATGAATAAGAAGATAGTTCAGATCTTAAGAAGTTTATGAACAGGTAGTCGCAGATAACGCTTTGAACAACCTCAATTTAGACAAAAAGAGTTTAATACCATGTCCACACAAAACACTGTCTTTCTAATTTTTTTTAACCATTATCAAAAATATTTTAGTCCTAGCTCTTATGTAGTTCTGAATGTCTTCAGATTAATTTATAGCCAGCAGCTTAGTCCCTAGAATATTTATATAACATACAATAAATAAAAATTTAAAACACTCAACCAGTACTCAACATACTTGTCTCATTTCCACTCAGTTTCATTCTTCTGTAATGTGGTTTTGACAGCAAACCTAAAGAAAAACCACAACTACTTTGTTCGGCTGGGATTGACAATAGAGACATGGAGGTAATCTGAGGATATATATATACAGTAGTCATCATTTAATGGCAGAAAAAAAAAACTTGAAATCATATTTAATTTTATTTGATGTGTCACGAAAACATCAAACTATGGAGACAGTGTGCAGACAATAAGACGTCACAAAGAACAAAATCTAATTTATGCTTGTAAAGAACTGAGAACTGGTTGCTTTCATGTATAAAACGCAGCTCAGAAAGACTGAAGAGTCTGTTAGGCTGTGGTCTAGTCCACACTTTTCTAGTGGGTATATCGCAGTAAAGTTAGTTTTACGGTGGACACCCCTGAAGCCACGTAGTGTGAATGTCCAACGTAAAACTAACTTTACCGCGGTCAGTCCGTATACTGTGCTTAGAAACCAAAGTACACTGGTTAGTACAATGTAATCGTCAATTTATTTAGATTTTTAAGCGTATTGAACATTTCCAAATTTCTCTGATGCTTATAATTGAATGAATGTACAACAAACTTTGTACAACAGTTGGCTTTGTATTAAAAACACGTTATAGAATTTATAAAACTGTATCAAAGCAAAACGTGTTCAAGTATTAAGTAGTAAGTACAGAATTATTAATTCTACAATAATTTGCTGGATAAGAGGATGTAATAGGGAGTGGTGGCGCCGAGGTTAGAGAAGATGGGCCTGTGATCGGAAAGTCGCAGGTTCAACTTCCAGTACAACATCAAAATGTGGGTGGAAAAGGTAAAACACCCACACCTGCCTCCACCCTTATTCACCCCACTCTGGGCCCCTGAGCAAGGCCCTTAACCCCACCATCTGCTCCCTAAATAGGTCTCTCCTGACAATGAGTTCTCATGACTCGAGAATAAATAAATAAGTAAACAAGCGCTGCATACAAGTAGATTGTTATGGAAGCTGCTGTTTAACATATCAATGACACGTGTCTAATGATATGTCATGTGTTACTGGGCACTTTTAAGTGGGTCTACAGAAATCCTGAAGCTTTTCTACTGAGTATACTCCGTATTCTCGCGTATCATGTAGACTACATCATTGCTGTTAGAGTGTGTGTGGTTTTAGCTCTGCAGATTGCAATAAGCGTTTCAAATAAATGCATTTTAAATTTAGGGCCTTGTTTTTTCGTGGACCTTGGAAAAATTCAGACGTCTACTCAAGATTTAGACGTCACAGAACACTTTATATCAAATCATATCCAGAATGTCCACCGACTGGTTGTTGTGTTAGCATCTTGTCAGGGGATTTAGGTTAAGGTTTATGGATGTTTTTAACTACCATGGCTGAGAATGTTAACTGCCCATGAACCATGTGTTGGAGTTAGCAGGAAGTTATTTTCTTGAGGGGAAGGCTGAATGAGGAGCTGATTTAATCCTGCATGTGCAGTCCAAGGACACCAGTCTGCTGCCTGCGAGCTGAGAGCTGATAAGTGTATAGAAACAATTCTAACACGCTGCCTGGTGCAGATTCTCATGACTGGGCTCCATGCATGCATCTGTGTAACCTATTGTGAAAGTCTGTGCTTGCAAGTAAACCAGTTAATAGTCTCCTGCTGTCGACTGTGGCTTCTTTGGGTAAGTAAGACGAAGAGAGGATATTTTGTCCAACACATCCTTTGAACTCTAAAATACACACCGGGCAGTGAAGCATTTAAACATGGTAACATATGGTTTGGTGTTACTGGAGCTAACACTGTGAGGAAACTCAAGTTGCTCCTTCGGGCACAAAGTCCATCACAAAGCAGCGTGGATGGTCTCAGTAACTGACACACACACATTCACACACCAGCTGCACCCTAAGACCATATCCTTATGTCATGCATGTAAACACGCAGGATTATTCATATCACTTTTCCCAAAGTGGCTTTTGGCAGGAAACTCTCAGCTAATCTCAGTCTGGGAGCACATCTCTCTGCACTGGAGACCAGTTTGTGTTACATTGGCTCTGCCAGCTGTAGGCTGCTCCACACTTCAGGAACGGTGGACTTTGGTGATGAGGGGCACCGACAGAAACGACAGCGCTGCTGCCGCCATTGGAACAACACATTTTTGTGGTGTTTTTGCGGTTCCTATGGGAGATTACCTTACACTGCCGACAAAGTATCACAAGCCACAAGCAGACAATCACACGCCAGTGGGGAATGTGTGGAATGTTACTTTCCCGCCATAAGGAGGTGAAACAGATGAGAGATGGCAAAATAGGTCAGAAAATGTGGGCACCAGTTTCCCACACAGAAAATAAACCTGTTTTATCCTGATGAATGCAACATGAACGCTGTTTGTGCAACAAATAAACAGCCTTTTTACCGTTTTTAACATTCAAAACCTTTTATCTGAGACGACATGAAGGCTGCCACAGGCATGCTCTGCATGAAAATACCTTTACATTACTCCTTCTCTATCCAGCCATTCTTTTCCTCTCTCTGCAGCTCCGTTAGCTTCAGTCAGCTCCTTTTAGGGAAACACCTTTAAACTAACATGTAAAAACAACAAGCTGTCCCTCTATCTGAGGAAACCTGCCTGCCAGTGTCACAGTGACAAGAACGGCAAAGGAAACCAGCTTGTAAGTGGAGCGAGGCTGAACTATTTCCAGGTTTTGTGCCAGGCTAAACCAACAAAAACCAAACAAAGGGGCTTGAAATGTTTCTTCTAAAGCCCTGACAGAAAACAGTGAAGTATGGAACCACTTCCTCACCTCTGGTCCTCGACGCACTGATTTCATTAAACATCTACTGATGCTGCTTCAGCTGCATCATGAGAAGTGTTTCTTCTCGTGACCCGTTTGATTTAGTTTCATCATTATTTCATGTAAGGCAGCTGTGAGGGAGCAGGAGTTTAGAAGGTCAGGATACAAAGTTCGTACAAGGATTATCGGATTTATTCTAAACTAATGTGATTATTGCAGGGACAATGGCAGCGTGTGCAAAAATAACCTGCAAGCACAACAAGCTTTGTGAGTTTCAGCTTTCTGGCTACTCCAGTCTGTGTTTGATGGGTAATGATAATAACCTGAGCATCTTCTCCATGATCTGCTGCTGGTGTGGCTTCTCCAGGCAGCGGCTCTTCATTGTGGACCGGGGAGTCCTGGGACGGGGTGTCGGGGGGGTTGATGACCACGGATCTCTCTGAGCGACTGCTGTCTTTGCTGCTGGTGGCTTTGTGTCGTTCACGGCTTCGATCTCTGGATAACAAGGACAAAACAATGAAGAATACCATCATAGATATTAGAATAAAAACTTGTTTATTAAGATGTAGGAGCATTGTTAAATATTCTGAACATGATGGCAATTAAACAAACAAACAAACAAAAATAAATATTGTTTAGAAGTCCAGAATTTATTCAAATGAAAAAAAAGTGTGCTTTTTTATTGTTCATATCTGAACTGAAAATATTAAAACCAGAAAAATGTTTGAGCCAGAAAACAAAATATTACATCAAATATCAAAAAGAACATTCCATTAAAGTCCAACTTTTAAAATATACAATTTTAAAACCCATTTATGAGCTTACTTTTCTTAAAGTTGTTCTTTTAAATTAAATTCTCTATTTTCTGTTTGTATCGTGTTTAAATTCCACTTTTTAAAAAGGTTTTATAAGACTCTACAGCTGCAAACCTATTTTTTTAATTTAAACCTTTATTTTTCCAGGACATAAACTCATTGAAATTATTAATCTCTTTTACAAGGATGTCCTGGGAAATGTAATACCAATGTAACTGAATGTCTGAGGATTTGAACATATTTAATTTGAACAATCAAGACATCAAAAGATGCCACCTTAATCTGAGAGCTTTGTGCTAAAAGTAGTTTTAATTTTCTGTCATCTTACAGATAAATTCATTAGTTAAAAATAAACAAACGAGCAAAAAAAACCCATGAAAACTAAATGGAACACAAAGCAAAATCAAGATTATTCAACAAAATAAACAACAGCTGTAAAAATGTAGCTGAGAATTTGACATCTTTAAAGACAATCCGGCCTTGGACTGATCGGGTCGAGGATAAAATGAATCTGTCATTCCTAACGTCGGCCGAGTCGATCCGTGGAATGGGTTAGACTCAGCTGTGATGACCCTAATCCACAACCTCTGCCCGTCTCAATCTCCTGAGCTGTCCCTCTCATCAGCCCAGGACACAACAAACCTTCACTCAAAGGTAAAAACAGCACAACAAGGGCTGTGACGTTACTCAAACTGAACATTGTGTGGTAAAATAAAAATAAAGAGCTGGAGCTGCCAGGCACATGCAGACAACATACCCATGACGGTTTGATCTCCCAGAGCGACTGGAGTAGCCCGAGTGGGTCGACTCGGTGTCCATTCCAACTGAGCTCAGATTTGGTGATTTAGGCAGGGAGGGATGAAGAGGAGGGGGGTGCTCGTCGCGTGGCAGAGGGAGGAAGCTGGCAGCAGCGCTCAGGAGGAGGAGGAATGGGTTGCTATGGCGACGGACCTCAGGATTCCACAGTGACTGACAGCTATCCCAGAGAGCTGCTTCGAATACCACGTGAACCTGAGAGACAAACAGAGTGCAGCAATCTGAGGGTGTGTGTGTGTGGGGGGGGGGGGGGGGGTCACAGCAACATTTAACACACAACAGAGTCAAACGTTCCTGCTCTGAAATGTGCTGATTCTTGATGCTGAAGTGACTAAACTGACTGATCATGCACAGTCCATGTTTCCAGCTCCGTCAATGCTTTGATTTAAAGAGTTATTCCTGGGTGATAAAGTTTTGGGGTTTAATCTGAACTTGTTGATTGTGTTTGAATTGTGTAACTGCTTTAATAGTTTATGTATAGATGTTTTGTGTGTGTGTGTGTGTAAAAGCTGCTTTTGGCTCAGCACAAAGTCCAAAACCAGTTCCCCAATGTGACAACAGAGGGTGCAACTTTACAAATGTGTACCTTATAATAAGAAACATGTAATAAAAACAGATATTATTATGCTAAAAACACAATATAATGCAGACGTTAGACAAAAAGAACAACACTGGCTCACTTTTGGCCAAATGCACAGTTTATTCTGTTTCCAGCTTCATCAACGTTTTTCATGCCTCTTGATTAAAGGAGTTGTTTTTGAGTGATAATGTTTCAGGTTTTAATCTGACATGATTAGATATTAAATACCAAACATTAATAAATATGCTACCTGCATGTGAGCACTATGAGCATAACGTTTATTTTGGCACATTCAGTTATTAAGTAAAAAAAAACTAGAAAAAATGCATTTACAAAAGTACAAAACTAGATATTGCCAAAGAGTGAGAACATTTAATTGTAAATGGTTAATAAATGTTAAATATGGATTTGTGAAATGTTTAAAAACTCATAAATGATCTATTTATATATCATTTCTAAGTATTTTATAAATGTATCTCTTCTGTAAAGTAGTAACCAATTTATATTATTGTATAATATTGAATTTTATCAAAAAAATACTGCATTGTACTATCATGCATCCTATTATACCACAATATATATTACATTGTATGTTAAACATGTCAAAATGCTATTTTAAACTCAGCTCATAATATTTTTTTGATAAAATATTTATTAGGAAAACAAACAAAAACAAAAACATAAATTAAAAAATGTTAAAAACACGATCTAAGAAAACTTTCCTATTTTATATAATCAAACTGTTTTTGTCTCTTAAAATATGATCGTCTCCTCATTTTATTGTAAAGTGCTTGAATGCTGTTTTCAACATAGAAAGAGAAAATCCTGGGAGGAGAAAACCTAATAATTTTGCACAATTAGCACATCCATCATTAAATGATGCAATGAAAGGCAATTAAAACATCATTTAAAGGTAATTAAAATGGTTGTTGATCTAAGCATTGCAGTAACAACCAAAACGTTTTTTTTTTCATGTTTTATTTTGTTCAATGAAATTTTCCAACCGTTTTTATTTTAATTTTATTTTTTTTGCAAAGACAGATTTTAGATGTGTTGACGAGCTCTCTGAACCAGGAAAAAAATCTAGGAAATAAATCCTCTGGTTTTTATTTAATTATTTAGTACAAGACCTAAAAGTTGAAATTCATAAAATACTGACATTAAAAGTATTTCTACTAACTAATAAAACATATACTGCCTAAAAATTGTTTTCCAACTCCATCCTGACAGACAAAAAGCATACAGAATATGTACTTTGTATATATATATATATATATATACATATATGTGTAAAGCAACGCCTTATCCTTCTGGCCAGATAAATCCTGAAGTATCGTGTGCTAAATAAAATATTTATGCACATATTTCTGAGAAAGATTTACGACCACTTCTGCATTATGTCAATTAGTCGTGGGACTGCATCTGCCACACTCTCCTGGGCTCTAATGAATGCTGTGTGATGCATCCAAGAGGCTGCCTTAGTGCTTCACCGTCCATGACCGTTCATTTAGACCTGTCTGTCTCCCAGCTGTTGTCCTGACAACCAAGTGCCAATAACTGTCCTCAGCATCAGCTCATTTTATTAACTGGAATTATTCTGCCCATCATTTGCAGGCTATTTGTTGTCTCTCCAGCCAATGATGCAGACAAATAGCAGACATGACATTCCCAGCATGTTAGGATGAGAATGTCATGTCTGCTATCTGATAGGCTGGGCCTTTTGTTTTCTTCAACCTACCATGAGAAATTATCGTTTTTATAAAGTAAATCATAAAATTATGATTAAAACATCCCCACGCAATGCATATAATCCACACTAAATGTCTTGCAGTAATGTGCATGGTTTGTTTTGTTCTTAGTTTTATTCAAAGCAGGATTATAGAAGGTAGAGCAGCGTATAACTTTAATAAATAATGCGGTTCAGCATGTCAATCATAGGCCTAAATGATGGTGCAGCGTTCCAGTTTTTTACAATGCATCACATCTCTAGTACACATCTGGAGCGTCCGCTGTCGCCCTGGCAACACGCGAGGCAGAAGGCCCAATTTAGGGGCAACAATCAATCACCCCCGCCGAGAGAAAATTCATGTGATAGACTCGTGTGTGTGTGTGTGTGTGTGTGTGTGTGTGTGTGTGTGTGGTGCAGGAGAGACGGGGGGTGGCTGAGTGAGAGAACCCAAACAGCAAACAATGGTCTTTCATCCCGTCCAGAACCCATATGGTTAAATGAATAAGCTTGAAAATGTGAATGAAAGCTGTTAACCCCCCCAGTGCTGATCTATGAGCGCGTGGCTGTCAGGATGTGGGCCAGGAGGATGCTACTGAAAAGCCGCTCATGCACAAGACGATGAGGAGGAGGCATGAGAACCAGGCCATGTGGAAAATCGCAGCCACGGGCAAAGAAAAACTATCAATTACAAACCAAGAGTACGTACAGAGCACGTAAAAATAATAAATAAAGATGCACGTGCGCCTGTCTGTCCACTCCGAGTCATCCACATCCATAAAACCAATCATCTGCTGTGTTCTGGAGAGGAAATACAGTCTCCTTAGTGAAGTGCAGTTGCATGGCTGCACATCGTTGTGCACGGGCGCCCCGAGCGACTCACAGGGGCAGAAAGTGACACTAATGTAAAACAAACATTCATTAATGTGTTTGTCTAGCGGCCTGGTGCACAGTGGCAGCTAGTCGGACCGAAAGGTGCTGCTTGGTTGCAACAGGCTCGTTTTAAACGTCAATTCTAAAAGAAGAGTAATAAAAATTAAACAAGACTCCAGCCCTGCAACAGAAAAAAATGCACGTGAGTTCCAACGCAGAGCTGTAACCTTTATTAATGCTGGATATGCATTTTTTGCATTGATCTGCAGAAGAACTAGATATTTCATCACATTTCCCAGTGCAGTCTTACGTATCAGTCTCACAGCTCTGCTAAAGAACATCCTGAATCCTGGTTACCATGGCATCTGCCCCCGCCCCACACCCATTAGCCATTGTGCCTACCTTCCTGGCTTCACCCTGCTCCGGTGGTGTTTTGCCATAATCTGCTCCGTCTGATGCATGGCATCAAATCAAAACCTCAACCTCCAATGTAGAAATACTGTAAATTAAGACTTGAGTCCAGCCTAATATAATCTAAACTCCCAACTTAGATTATTTTGAAGTTGGGTTATGAACAATGACTGTCTTACCTGTTGTAGATAGCTTTTAAAATTACCTTGATTTGGAGAAATACTTAATCGTTTCATACTGGTTCAAGCAAACACTGTTTCACAAACCTTTACGTTTGTGTCAGACTCAGTTATTTACGCAGCATGTGGTGAGTCTGGTGCAGAGTGGGAACGTCCGACAGGAATACATTTATCAGGAACACCCGGCGATGTGGAATGGGCGGCAGAGGCAGAGCTACTGTAACATTTGGGACATTGTTTTAAACCAGTAAATATCTGACCTGGTCTTGACCACATTTCAAGCTGTTAACTCATCAACCCACCCATAATAAAACAAATAAAAACATAAACAAGATATTAACTGTTCATGAAATTTCCTCAAAATCCCATTTCTAAACATTTAAACTCTAAAACAACTGCTCCATTTTCATGAGCAAAGCAAATGGAAACTACCCCAAACTTACATATATGTAATTTTTATTTTAGCTTTGTAATTATTTTGTATAGTTTAAATGCATCATTTGAACATGGCAGCAGAAAAGCAGATGTGCACAGAAGCCACAAACACTAATATCTGTTTATCTGTGTGTGTCCGTGTTATTTATTGTGACTACAGTCTCTAATCTTCAGATAAACCCAGAGAAACACCTGCTCATTAGCACTTTAACAATTTATATAAACACAGGATTTAAATCACACACTAAGCCTAATTCATAAAAACAACAACACATTTTATTCCCTTGACATGGCTGCATGTTTTGTATTTAGTAAAAACATGCATTTTTCTGTATATTTTTCTTTCACTCTCTGTTCAGTGGTATTTGTTGGACACGTGCAAGGAGCAAACCCTCGGCCTCTGGCTGACTCTCACTTTATGCCACTTTGTTGATTCACACCCACACAGAAAGAAAAAGGGAGAAAGTTAAGACCTGACACGGTCCTCTGGAATGCAAACTTCACCCTCCTCTGATGCGTTCATGTGGAACTAAATAAAAGTACAGCAGTAAGGGGGGAGGTACAAGTGGGAGGGGTTGTAGAGAGATAACCCTGAACAGTCCACCTCTAAGTGCCTGTGTACAGTAAAGTGGCACACATTGCATCCAAACTTTCCTCTGCAGCCTAAAGGCAGGACCACTTCTTGTTACACTTCTTCCATCTCGTCCAGAAAGGCCAGTTTTAAAGAGAACAATGGCACATTGCTTTCTTCTGATCCCTCCTGGCATGAACTGATATCTTCCATGAGATGACTCATCTTATCAGGAGTTTCCTCGAGTCCTCCTCTCTCATCACTAAAATCCACCACTGACTGCACGGTCTGTGCAGCTTCAGAGCCAGAGGAGGCACATTTGAGCCACAGTAATACCTCATCCAGCTGTGCAGCCTCTGCAGGCAGCTGCTGCTGAT